CTTGCCCAAAAATAATTCAATGAAGAATTTTAAAAAAACTGTAAAAAATAAAATATGAGAGAATGAGGAAAAATTTTAAAAAATAAGAACAATCCAAGAAAAAACAAGATTGTGAAAAGAAAGTCAACCAACTACAAAAGGAGATCCAGAATCTTAAGAAAGAAAATAATTCCTTGAAAATTAGAATTGGGCAAGAGGAAGCCAGGGAAGTTAAGAGACCAAGAAATAACAAAACAAAATATAAAGAATGAAAAAATACAAGAGAAACGGAAACATCTCATAAGAAAAAACAATCTAATCTGGAGAACAGTTCAAGAAGAGAAAACATAACCGTAATCAGACTACCTGAAAACTGCAATGAGAAAAAGAATCTTGATACAATAATACAAGATATTTCTTAAAGAAATATTAAAGAAAATTGTCCTGAAGTGTTAGAACAAGAGGGGAAAGTAGAAATAGGAAAAATCCACCAAACACCATCTGAAACAGATCCTATGAGGAAAATCCACAGGAATATCATAGCTAAATTCTGAGACTCCCAGCTCAAGGAGAAAATATTATGAGCAACAAAAAAAAAACATTCAAATATGGCAGAGCCACAATTAGAATCACATAACACCTAGCAGTGGCTACATTAAAAGACCACAGATCTTGGAATACTGTATATGGAGGAGCAAAAGAACTGGGGTTGAGGCTGAAAATAGAATATCCAGCAAAGTCAAGCATAATCTTGAATGAAAAGGGGGGGGGCATTCAATGAATTGCCAGACTTTCAGGATTTTGTTGCAAAAAGACCTCAACTCAATAGAAAGTTTGACATACAAGATCCAAGAGAAACATAAAGTAAATATCAAAGACTTATTATAAGGGATTCAATAAGAACAGAGTATTTACTTTTTGTATGAGAAAATGTAGGGGCAGCTAGGTGGCACAGTGGATAGAGCAGTGGCCCTGAAGTCAGGAGGACCTGAATTCAAATCTGGCCTCAGACCAAACACTTGACACTTACCAGCTGTGTGACCCTGGGCAAGTCACTTAACCCGAATTCCCTAAAAAAAATGTACATTATATTCTAAGATTATTATTAGTATTTGTGTAGATCGAAAGAAATGAGGTACAGCTGAGCATGATTTGATACTAAAAAGTAAACCGTCTAGGAGAAGATAAAAAGTGTAATTACTTTATAAAAATGAGGTGTGAGATGAAGAACTGAAACAGAATAATTAGATGGGGGAGGAGGGCTGTGAGTTCTGGAACCCTATTCTCATTGCGAATGGGTTAAAGAGGGAACAATACATATACATCTAGAAGGTCATAAAAGTTTATAAATTCAGGAAGAAATAAGAGGCTAAGGTAATAGGGAGGGGAGAAGATAAGGGAGGGATTTTAGGGTAGGGGAGAGAATAAGGGAAGGATCTTTGTTTGGGGTAGGTTAAAATAGGAGGTCAAGCTAGCAGGTAGAGGTAAAGTAGAGGAGTCAGGAAGGATAGGAAATAAGAGATACACATAAACAGGAGTAGAATTTACTAGGGAAAAAATGTACATTGTAGTCTAAGATTATTATTAGTATTTGGGTAGATTGAGAGAAATGAGTAGAGCTGAGCATGATGTGATACTAAAAAGTAAACCGTCTAGGAGAAGATAAAAAGTGTAATTACTTTATGAAAATGAGGTGTGAGATGAAGAACCGAAACAGAAGAATTAGATAGGGGAGGAGGGCTGGGAGTTCTGGGACCCTACTGTCATTGGGAATGGGTTAAACAGGGAACAATACATATATATCTAGAAGGTCATGAAAGTCTTATAAATTCAGGAGGAAATAAGAGGCTAAGGGGATAGGGAGGGGAGAAGATAAGGGAGGGATTTTAGGGTAGGGGAGAGAATAAGGGAAGGATCTTTGTGAGGTGTAGGTTAAGTAAAAGGAGGTCAATCTAGCAGGCAGAAACAAAATAGAGGATCAGGAAGGATAGGAAATAAGAGACACACATAAACATAAAATAAAGATCAGGAGTAGAATTTATTAGGGAAAAAAGCAGGGATAGTAATCATTATCTCAGACAAAGTTAAAACTAAAATAGACTTAATCAAAGACAAAAATAGGGAAACTATGCCATACTAATAAATATTGTTTTAGGCTACTTAAAATAACTAGATAGCATAAGGTTGGAATATTGATATGGTATAGGAAAAATGAGTTGATGGACTTAGAAAAACATGGAAAGACTTGGACTTATGAAGGAAGATGTCCTCCACCCTCAGAGAAACAAAGGACAAAAACGTATAATGTAGTCTCACATGAACATATATGAATGTATATGTCTACATACAAGTATGATTATAGGTATCTAAGTATATGTATGTGAATATAAGTATATATACATATGTATATATATGTATATATATTTGTGTATGTGTGTATATATGTTTATGTATATATATATATATATATATACATATACATACATGCACAGATACACACACATATCTGTGCGTAATTGTAGCCTTCTAAGCGGAGGAAGGGGGGAAAAAAGAACAAAGTAAAAAAGTACACAGCAGAAAACAAAAGAAAACTTACAAGGAAGCAAAGAAAAGATGGACAGCTTTCAGCTCATGGCCTAGTATTTATTATATAGGCTTTCTTGAAATGGAAATTTATTGCTCTATATTTTGAATCCTCTCTTATGTTCTACTAAGCACATTAAAAAAAATAAGGTAGGTGGCATAGTGGATAGAGTCCTGGGACTGGAGTCAGGAAGACCTGAGTTTAAAAATAGAACCAGACACATACTAGCTGTGTGATCCTGGGCAAGTCACTTAACCTCTGATTGTTTCTGATTCTTCATCTGTAAAACACACACAAAAAGGCACAAAACCTTGTTGAGAAACAAATGCCTTGAAAATTACAATGAGACAAACAGGAGATAATGACTCCATGAGACAACTAAAAATATTAAAACGAAGTCAAAACATTGAAAAATGGGGGGTAGTGGTGAAATAATGCATATCATAACAAGGATAAGTGAACTGGAAAAGAAATATAATTTAAGAATTACTAGACTACCATGAAAACCCAAAAAGAGTCTAGATATATCTGTTTCATGAAATCATAAAAGAAAACTGCCCAGATCTCTTAGAACAAGAGTAAAAAGTAGAAATTGAAAGAAATCACCAGTCACCTCCTAAAAGATCCATAAAGAAAACTCTCCAATACATTAAATCCAAAATCCAGAATTTCCGGGTCAATTGATCAATAAACATTAATTAAGCACTCATTACATGCTAAGTCCTAGGTGTGTAAAAAAAAAAAAGGCAAAAGACACTCCCTGATCTCAAGGGGCTTACAATTTAATGGGGAGACAACAACAACAACCAAAAAAGAAATCTACAAAGCAAGCTATTTACTGGACAAACAGGAAGTAATTAACAGGGGTATGGCACTGGAGTGAAAAGAGGTTAAGGAAGGCTTCCAGGAAAAGATGGAGGTCCTTTCTTGAGCTGAATTGTCAAGCATTCAAACTCTACTGCAGAGAGCGCAACTCAGATTTGCTGGCTGCATTGTTTCAATGCCAAACATGCATTTGTCTAAAAGAACTCACACAAGGCAAGTGCTCACATGGAGGTCAGAAGGAGCAACAGAAGGACATTTTAAAGGTGTTTTAAGAACTTTGTAATTGACTGTGAGACTTGGAAGACACTAGCACAGGTCCCCCCAGCAAGGCATCCCTGCATCAAAGAAAGTGCTATGCTTTGTGAGCAAAAGAGAATTGCAGTAGCTCAAAAGAAACATGAGATGCACACATTTAGAAACATCTCCACTCCAAATGTTCATATGAATCATCTGTGCCCAACCTATGGCAGAGACTTCCAAGCTCACATTGGATTCATCGGCTATAGTCAGACATACCGTACCTTGACCTTAACATAGTGATGTCAGTTTGATCCTTTTTGAAAATTATTGTTCGTTCTCAACCAAAGGAAGCCAAGGAAACCAGTAGCTTGACTTCAGGATGCCACATATTCCAGGAGTGGGAGTAAATGCCCAGAGTCAAGAGATGGAGGGTTTGTAGAACAGCCAGGAGGCCAGTGTCACTCCATCAAACAGTATTTGTCAAGGAGTAAGGTACAAGCAGGCTGGCAGGATAGGAGCCAGACAAGTGATGAAGGGCTTTGAATGCCAAACAGAGCATTTTGTATTTGATCCTAGATGCAATAGAGAGCTACTAAAGTTTATTGAGAAGAGGAGTGACATGATTGAACCTGAGATTTAGGGAAATCATTTTGATGGCTGAATGGGGAATGGATTGGAGTGGGGAGAGACTTGTTGTAGGCAGATCCACCAGCAGCTATTATGTGAGGGAATGAGGGTGGTACAGTGGAGAGAGCACTGTGCCCTAGTCAGAAAGACTCATTTTCCTCAATTCAAATCTGGCCTCAGACATTTACTAGCTGTGTGACCCTGCGCAGGTCACTTCACCCCATCTGCCTCAGTTTCCCCATCTCTAAAATGAATTGAAGAATGAAATGGCAAACCACTCTAGTATCTTTGCCAAGAAAATCCCAAATGGGGTCACAAAGAGTCAGACACAATTGAACAATAGCAACAATGAGGAGGGTCTGCACCAGTGTGAGGGTAGTGTTGGAGGAAAGAAGGAGGACTATATTAGAGACGCTTCACAAGTGAAATCAACAGGCCTTGGTAACAGCTTGGATATGGGAGTGAGGAGCCCAGAAGCCCAAGGGACTAGGAGGATGGTGTTCCTATGTTGTGTTTTGTTTCCTCTTTCTGGTGATTCCTCCAATTGGTTCTAATTCTTACTTGCAACATCACTAATGTGAAAATCTGTTTCATAGGAATGTATATGCATAGCCTATATGAGATTGTACACCATGGGGGTATGGAGGGAGTGGGAGAAAATTTTAAAATGCAGAAGTTTATGGAACTGATTGTTGATAAATCAAAATTAATTAATTTTTCAAAGAGTCATTTTCCTATTTTTCAGGTACCAGTATATGACTGGAACCCAGAAATCCAGGGTCTCCTCCTCAGTGCTATGCTCTATGGCTCATTTATTGCAACAATCCCAAGTGGTTATTTCTCTGGAGTTCTTGGAGGAAAGAAAATAGCTGGATTATCATTGCTTCTCTCCTCAGTTCTCAGCCTCTTGACACCATTAGCAGCAAACTTGGGACTGCCTTACTTGTTTCTAGTAAGGATAGTACAAGGCCTGTCTCAGGTACCAGCTCACCTTCAAAATAGGTGAGTAAGACAGATCATGCCTCAATTTCATTCACAGTTCAAAATGTCTTCTCATCTTGATTTCAGGGGATGAACTTCAGTGCTCTAGCTGCATTTTGGCCAAAATGGGCTCCACCACTGGAACGTACTCAACTAAGTACCATTGGTTTGTCTGGTAAAGACCCAATTATAACAGCTGTATTACATTTCTATCCCTCCGTATCTTTCCCACATCCATCTTGGTGTAAGAAAAAGAATTCTTGAAGGTAGGAACATAAATAAAATAGAATCACAGAAATTAAGACATAGAGAGCACATCAATGGTCATCTGGTCCAATTCATGCACAAAATTGGAATGCTAGAGACACAATACTTTGGTCCCCTTTCTTATTAATCTTAAATTTTGTGCAGATTGAAAATGCGAGTTATTCACACCCTCCTTAATTCCAATAGTTTGAAGAAAGCCCCAGAAACTTGAACTTCTAATGCTCTGACCCTGAACTTACTCTGAATCTTCAACTCAGGTACAACAATGGGAAATTTCATTGTGGTCATCGGGGGTGGTTTCCTCTGTAAGTCCCCAGGCTGGCCAAGTATCTTCTACATATTTGGTAAGTGACTTCATCTCAAATCCAACTGTTTCCATTTTTCAGGGTTTTACTCCTGGAAATCTGCATCCCTTATGATATCCATGTAGATTCCACATTAAAAGTTCATAAGTAATTAGGTTTGAAAAAGACAAGAAAGAATTTTACTCAAACTTCTAATCCAATGAGGAAAATTGGAGAAACTTAAAATAATCTTTTCGAGGTCACACAGTAAGTTAGTGGCTGAATCAATATAACTAGGTTGCCTTCATTCTTTGTCCAGTCCTCTGGCTACTAGAGCCCAGCTGATTCTAAAAGCAATATTAAAAAAAAAGTTAAAAACATTCTTGACCTGCCTATTTTGCGAACGTGCATTCAGTTGCTCAAGTAACTAATATTTATTAATTACCCACTATATGCCAGGCTCTGTGCTGAATGTTTCGAATATAAAGAAAGGCAAAAAGTAATCCTTGCTGTCAAGGCACTCATTGTCTAGTGAGAAGATGTAAGCAACTATGTATAAGCAAACTATTGATAGGATAAATTAGAAATAATCTCAGGGAGAAGTCACTAGAATTAAGAGGGATCTAAACCCTTTCCTGTAGAAGGTGGAATTTTTGCTAGGGGTAAGAGGCAGAAGCAGCTACATGGTACAGTGGCTAGAGTGCTGGGCCTGAGGTCAGGGACACTCACCTTCCTGAGTTCAAATCTGGCCTCAGACACTCACTAGCTGTGCGACTCTGGGCAACTCAATCCACCCTATGTGCCTCAGTTTCCTCATCTGTAAATAAACTGGAGAAGGAAAGAGCAAACTACTTCAGTATCTTTGCCAAGAAAACCCAAAATGGGGTCACAAACAGTTGGACACAATTGAAAAATACTGAACAACAAGAAGAAGAGATGAGGGAAAGTATTCAAAGCATGTGGGACAACCAATGCAAATGCCCAGGGTGAGGAGATGGAGTGCTGTGTGTTAGGAACAGCAAAGGAGCCAGGATAATCAGATCACAGAGGATACAGGGTGGGGTGGGCAGAGAGAAGTGATGAAGTGGTACAAGTTGTAAAAAGAGTAGAAAAGTAGGGGAGGATCAGGTTATGAAGGACATTGAAAACCAAACAGAGGATTTTGTATTTGAGCGTGCAAATATGAAACTACTAGAGTTCATTGAGTTGGGGGATAGCATAGTCAGATTTTCATTTTAGGAAGATCAATTTGACAGCTGAGTGGTAGAGGGGCTGCAGCAGGAAAAGACTTGTGAGGAGATGCCTATTACAAGTCTAGCTGTTAGAGGCTAATGGCTTACATCAGACTGGTGACCGTGTCAGAAGAGAGTAGGGTGTAGGGAACTATTTTATCATGTTGTTCAGAAAATATTAATTATTATATTGTGTGAACCTAACTTTAGGGGACTATAAATTGTCTAGCCCAAAAGTTTACTCTACAGGTCAGACTGAATTCAGAGACACTCCAGAAAAGCTGGATGGCTTCAGGAAAGTCTTAGATACCACTCAGATCTTATTTTGGATCAACCCAATTCTTGCCTTTTGGGTTCCCCAAATTTAGATGTTTATGTTTATTTGATATACATCTCAATGGACCTTCCTTGGGAACTGTCCTCTCTGCAAAGTCGCACCGCTGAATATTAGCAGTTCCTGTGCTGATATTCTTGTCTGAACCCTATAAAACATAAATCTTACAGAGACCCATAAGGGATCCACACCTTCTTCTCACTGTCTGCGTGCCAAACAACCTATTAAAATTCTTTCTAAAACAATTTCAGGCTTTGGGGTTCATTCTCATGAATAACAGGAGCATCAGGAGAGTTGTAATAAAGGTAAAATTGACAGGATGTGGTAACAAATTTGATGTAGAAGGTAAGACAGAGTGAAGGATCAAGGATACACTAGTCTTGAGGCTGGGACTGGAAAGGTAGTGGGACTCTCCACAGTAATAGAGAAGTTGGGAAGAAAGGAAGGTTTGGGGGGAAATATGATGAGTTCAGTTTTGGGTATGTTGAATTTAAAACTTCTACAGATCACCCAGTTCAAGATGTCTGATAGGCAGTTACCAATGCAAGAATGAAAGAGAACAGAGAGGTCAAGATTACATAAGTAGATTTGAGAGTCATTAGCCTAGAGATGATAATTGCATCCATGGAAGCTAATGAGACCACCAAGTGAAATAGTATAAAGGGAAAAGACTAGGGGTCAGGGTTAAAAGGAGGACCTGGATGAAGATCTAGCAATGGAACTGAAAAGGAGTGGTCAGATAGGTAAGAGGAGAAACAGAAGAAAGCAGAAGCAGAATATCAAAGAAAAGAGGGTGATCATCATTGTCAAGGTCAAAGGTCAAGAAGGATGAGGATTGTTAGAAGGTCATTGTTGTTCAGTCATTTCATCATGTCTGACTTTGTGACCCCATTTTGGGATTTTCTCAGCAAAGATACTGGACTGGTTTGCCATTCCTTCTTCAGCTCATTTGATAGATGAAGAACTGGGTTTAACAGGGTTAAGTGACTTGCCCAGGATCACATAGCAAGTAAGTTTCTGAGGCTGGATTTGAATTCATGAAGTTGAGTCTTTCTAATTCCAAGCCCAGTGCTTTATCCACTGTACTATGTAGTTTCCCAAAAGGTCATTAGATTTGTCCATTAAGAGATTATTGGGGCAGCTAGGTGGCTCAGTGGATAGAGTCCAGCCTCGAACTCAGGGGAACCTAAGTTCAACTCCAGCCTCACGCACTTGACACCAGCTGTGTGACCCTGGGAGAGTCACTTAATCCCAATTGCCTCATCAAAGAAAGGCAAAAAAAAAGAGATTATTAGTAATTTTAGAGATAGCAGCTGCATTTGAATGATGAAGTCAGAAGCCAGATTGTAGAGAGTTAAGAAGAGAGTGAGAGGAAAAGGAGCTGACACATCTAATGTAGACAGTCTTCTTGAGTGTGGATGGAGAGACATGGGCATGTTTGTGGATAGTAAGGAAGCAGCTAGTAGACAGGGGGAGACTGAAGATAAATGATAGAGTAAGGATGATAGGGAGACAGTGTGCTACAGAGGACAGGATGGAATGGGATCATCACACGTGTGGAGTGGTTTGCCTTGGCAAGGAGAAGAGCTACTCATGTGAAACAGGCAAGAAGAAGGAGATAGTGGAAGAAGGCATCTGGGTTATATGCAATGAAATGAAGGGAAGAGAGAGCTCTCAGTGAATGGCCTCAATTTTTAAGTAAAATGTGAGGCAAGGTTCTCAGATGAGAGGATGGAAAGTCAGAGACTCATGGGTTTGAGGAGTGATGAAAGAGCTACTGTGGTAAATAGGATAGTGAGTTGAGTAGAGAAATGTGAAAGAATTGCATTGTCATAGGGAAGTCCCAGTTGAGGTCATATAACATAAATTTATTGATGCTATGGGATATATGAATTTGTAGTGTAACCCATCAACACAATTCCATGATTTTTCCCCCTACCTTCATTCATCGGCATGTATAAGAGTGTAAGCAGGATATGGATGAAGTGACCAAAGACTAAGGCTTTGCAGGGCAAGGTCAGCAATATGATAAGGGAGCAAGGGACTCAAGAGAAGTATGCCATTGAAGTGGTTCACAATCATTTCAAGATGGGCAAAGGAGGAGAGTGTAGTGTAAGGGTGATGGGCTGGGAAAGAGCTGGTGAGCCAAGGTGGGTCAGAGCATGGATGAAGAACAGGGTTTGGGATTGCAAGGCAGAGAGAGAGGTAGAATGAAAAGAGATTGCAGTCAGCTAAGACAATGTAGATTTCATCAACAGGGAAATAATGCTGATAGCTTTTGAATCAGGTCTAGTTTACCTAACTGTAAAGAAATCCTCTCAAGGAGAGATCACTGGTGCTCCATATTGCCTCAATTAAATAGATCTTCTTAACACACACTGTTTAAAAAGGTGTCACTAGTGAAGGGAATTCTGAGCAATAGTCAAGAATCATGTAAAGTGATCAATGTAAATGCCAACATCTGTATCAATGGCTTCTACTCCATCAAAATCACTCCAAGATTGTCTGTTCTCAGGGGATGAGCTTCCTTCAACAAACCTCTACTTGAGATTCTAAAGAAGGGGCCACTGATTTTCTGGTTAAGGTTCAAGTCTATGGATTTAACAGTAGACATGTTTTTAATTTCTTTTCCTCATAAATATAACAATCACCAAGAAACACACATTTCAATGTACAAAAGAAGAATAAACTGTGACATCTTATTGTTCTCATGTAAAAAGATAACTTATGGACCTCAATACAGATTAATCATCTTCAGTGAGGCTTCAGAGCACCCCAGAGTAGTCTGTGCTTTTTCTGAGCATATGTGGTTGATATAAAGAGTAAAAATAATAAGCCATTGTTTTGTTACTGCCTCTTAGCTTTACCAAGCATTACAGCTGAGGCTATGTCAGGAGCCCAAAATTTGGGTGAAAAGAATCCTCAGTTCCCTAATTCTGAAAGCCCAAGATCTGCCCCATGTGACAAAATTCCAATATAAAAGAGTGACTCTAAGCAGTTTAAAAAAAACCTTAGAATGATATTTCCTACAGGTCATTTCTTAAACATTTCTAAACCTGGCACATCCTCAGAATTATCTATGCTAAGCTTCACATGTGAAGAATACACATAGGAAAGAAGACATTACTCTAATATCTGTTGCCACCTGTGATACGTAAAAAGTTGCTTGATAATAAAAGTCTGCCAATTTGGAGGCTGTCCTAGACACGACCTTAGAGAATTAGACAAGTGCAGAATAATGATGTGAGTTGGAAAGCTGAATGAGTTGGGTAAAATGAAAAACTAAAAGGGCAATATTGGCTCATCAAGAAATGAATAGAATTCTGTGTGTGATGGCTTTTACAAGATGGGGGTGGGAGCATGTCAACTTGGGGCAGAGTCCTATCAAATAAGACACAACTGGAAAAGCATTAACTTGGTCCTCTTTTCCCTAGGAGGCATTGGCTGCATCTTCTCTATTATCTGGTTTTCTCTTGTTTACGATGACCCTAGGGAACACCCATTTGTAAGTGACAGTGAAAGAGAATACATTATTTCTTCATTGGCTGAACAGGTGTGTTAAAAATAACAGCTGACTTGGGAAAACATCTTTGTATAAAATTTCTTAGATAATGATTTGGTATCCAAGACATATAAACAACTAGCAAATATAAAAACCAAAAGTAATTTCCCAATAGATAAGTGGTCCAAGGATATAAACAAATGGTACTCAAAAGACAAATTGCAAACAATTTATAGCCTTGTAAAGAATGTTCTAAATTACTAATAATGAGAAAAATGTAAATCAAAACAATGCTGAAGTTTTACTTCACACCCAGAAATTGCCATAGATGACAAAAGAGGGGAATAGTTAGGGTTGAAGGAGGTGTGAAATGATAAGCACATTGGTGCATTGGTGGTAGAGCTGTGAATTAGTACAACCACTTTGGCCAGCAATTTAGAATTATGTGAATAAAGTAACCTAGAGATTCCACTATTAGGCATATACCTCAAGGAAAATAATGATAAAAATAAAACAGGCATGTACATCAAAGCATTTATACAATTCCTTTTTGCAAAGAGCTGGAAACAACAAAAATGTCCATGAATTGAGGAATAGCTAAACAAACCGTAACACATAAATGTAATGGAGTATGACAGAGGTGTAAGAAATGACATGTGTGATAAGTACAGAGAAGCATGAAAACAGCTACATGAACGGATTAGAGAGAAGTCAGTGGAGCCAAGAAAACAACATACAAAAGGAATACAACAATGGAGAAGGAACGAACAACCATGACAAAACTACTGAAAGTTGGAAAGAGAACTAACAGCGTGGAACAAGAGGAACAAAACTTTACCTGAACAACGAACTCACTGAAAATTAAAATGGGCCCAAATGGAAGATAATGACTACATGAGACAACAAAAATGTTTGAAACAAAGCCAAAGGACCAAGAAACTAGAAGAAATATGAAATATAGCAAAAACAAATGACCTAAAAAACAGAGGAGACATAATTTAAGAAATTCGGGACTACCTGAGCACCATAACCAAGGTACTAACAATGAAAAGGTTTTCATATGGAAACCTGAGGAAGCTCAGGGTTTAAACACACTAAACTCTAAAATTCTGAGTATTCGGCTTAAGTCAAATCTAGAGTTGTTTTTAAGAGGTGCTACAATATTTTTCAAAGTTTCAGCAGATGAAAAGTTTCTATATAGATGTTGTCTTATTTTTTATTTTTTTTTAACCCCTATCATTTCCTCTTTCAATGAATGAATATGAGCAGTAGAGTTAGAACTGGTATAACAACACATGATAAAAATACCAACTACTACTGTAAACAATGGGGGGAAAGAGAAATATATATACATAGAGAAGAGTGCTGGCAAATAAAACACTAAGAATAAATCTCTGGGACTTTCTTTTCCTCCAACATATTACTTAATCTAAATGAAGCACAAAAGTAATATTAGAGACATCCATACCATGATTTTCCACTGAAAATATGCCTTTGATTTTGTAACCCTGTAGTCTTTTAAATATTCTGTACCTTAATACATTCTTTATTTTCTAACACTTTTATTGAAAGCTGCTAGCAAAGCAAATAAATGAGACCCTCTTTAATTTTATGAAAAGAAAAGAAAAGTGAATGTTTCAGAATTACAAAAACCAAGTATTACCAAAGAAAAGATATTGAGAAGACATCACCCTCAACCCCACTGCAGAGATGAGAGGTTAATAGGTGTAGAACATGGCATTTTCAGACTTTTGCAATATATTGATCAGTTTTACTGATTTTATTTTCTCATCTTCTTATTTTTCTTTTTAAAAATATTCTTTCTTTTATAAGATGGCTCTCTGAAAAAGAAGAAGAGGAGAGATATGGGAGAAATTTAGGCAATGTGAAAATAAAAGATGTTGGCAAAAGTTATTTTTAAAAAGAATGAGAGCTTTTCCATAGTATTTAATGCTTTAGAAAGTAAATTTACATATACGTACTTACAACAACCGGTAAGGGTAGTAACAAAATATTACTATCCCTTTTTTACAGGTGAAGAAAAGGCTATAGCCAAATAAAATGAAGTGACTTATCTCAGGTCACACAGCTAGTAAATGACTGAGCTGTCTTGAACTCGTTTCCTGTAGCCACCTACGAAGTTCTTTCATGGACATCATGTAATCAGAATTGAATGGCTGTGAGGGCTCTTCCTTAAGTTGCACCTATATTGCTCACAAGTGGTCAACATTTCAGAAGTGATAAGAAAAATGCTACAAATCACTAATAACAGAAATGCAAATGAACACAATTAGAAGGTTTGGACCTTACACCTATAAAATTCACTAAATAAATAAGGTATGAAAATAGTATATGTTGGAGGGACTGCAAAAAGACAAACCCACAGATGCACCATGTGTTAGTTGAGCTCTGAATTGGCCCAACTCTTCTTGAAAATAATTTGAAATTATGTGAAAAAAAAAGTGATGGAAATATACAGAACTATCGAACTACTATTACTACAGCAAGGCATACACTCCACAGGTCAAGGGGAGAGGGAAAGTTTTGAATAGTGAAATATTCACAGTGCCACTTTTTCATGGTAACAAAAGCCTAGAAACAAAGTTGCCTACTGGTTGGAAAATGGCTAGATAATTATAACAATGAACAAAATGGAATATTTTATTGTCATAAGTATTTGAAACTATGCAGAACTCTAAAAAAACAGCACTCCAGAAGACTTGTCATCTGATGCAGAACAAACAAAGCAGAACAGAGAGAACAATGTGTGCACTGGACACGATAATGCAAACAATCCAAAAGAGTACTGGATTGGAATTAGGGCAAAGATCACTCTTGACTCCAGAGCTTTAAGGATGAAACAGGATAAAGAAACAAATGAACAATAAATGGTGAAGTCTGGAAACAGTATCAGGGTGCTTTACTTTTCTCCTCTCTGCTACAAGGGAGGAGTCCATTGAGCCAGGAAAGTCATGTCAAGAGGGGACAGTGGTGTTTGGGGGAAGGTAGAGGGGGAGGAAAAGTTTCAAAACAATTTTTTGAAAATAAAACTGTTTGTGACTGCCTGACCAAAGTATTGACAATTTTATTTTCCTTCTAGGCTAGTTCCCCTAATTGGTCTTTGCCTTTCAAAGCTATGATCAAGACACTGGCAATCTGGGCCATTATAATTCCTAGCATTTGTCGATTCTGGTTAACTAGCAACTTAACAACATCCCTGCCAACACTATTAGACAATATGTTTGATTTAAACTTTGAAGAGGTAAGTTCATAATTCCACCCTACTGTTCATTTATCTAATGGACTTTTTAATCAAGCAAGCACTTCTGATGTTCCAGGCACTGGTTAGGAACTGGGCATTCGAAGGAAAAAAAAAACAGTCCTTGCTCTCAAGCAACTTGCATTCTATTCGAGGAGACAATTATAAAGAAATAAGAATATACAAAATAAATCCAAAATACATATCGGGGAAATTGGGAAGAAGGGGACTAGTAGATGGAGGATCAGGAATGGCTTCATGTAGAAAATATCACATAATCAGAGGTTTAAAGGAAATTAGGGATTCTAAGAGCACAGATGAGGTGAAGAAGAGTATGTTTCAGGGATGAAGGAGACAGCCAGTGAAAAGGTACAGAGATGGTAGATTGAATTTTTGTACCATTCTTACAATTCTTACATTTCTAACCTTAACAACATTCCTATTTTTAAGGGGTAAAATCTTGTTTTCTAAGAAAACCAGGGAAGATCCGAGATGGTAGTCCCAGAGACAAAAGTGTCAAATTGTCTGTGTTTTGTTTCCATGGCAGTAACCCAGAAGAGAGGAGATTAGGGCTTGAACTATGGTGGTGGCAATGTTTAATAGGGAGAAATGAATGGATGTAAGATACACAGAAGAGGTAGAAATGATAAGATTCAGTGAGTGACTGTATATGTAAAGTTGCTGATCCTGGTCACTGGGAAAATGGTGGTTCCCTAGACAGAAATGGGACCATTCAGGAGTGGGATGGGTTGAAGGGACAGAAAGTAGAGTACTGTTTTGGATGTGTTGACTTTTAGATGCTTAAGTTAGATATGTCCAACAGTCAGTTTAAGATGCATGGCCAGAAAATAAAAGAACAAACAGAGAGAAGGGAAATAGAGAGATAAATAAATGAAAGAATAAATGAATGAATACGTAAGTAAATGAGTGAATGAGCAAATAATTAAATAAATAAATGAATGAATGAATGAATAATAAATAAATAAATAAATAAATGAGTGAATGGGTGAATAAATAAATATGTAAAAGAACAAATAAATGAATAAGTGAATGAATGAATGAATGAATGCAAAGATGCATGGCCAGAGCTTGAAAGACTCAAGTTGGATTATGGATCTGGGAGCTATTGGTACAAAGATGCTAATTAAATCCATGAGAACCAATGCGGTCACCAGATGACTGAGTGTAAAGAGAGAAGAGAGCCCAGGACAAAGCTTTGGGTCACACTTACAGTTATAAGGTGTGATGTAGAGGATGAAACACCACCTGAGACTGAGAAGAAACAATTCTACAAGTGAGAGGAAAGAGAGTACTGGTGCCAGAAAAGCCAAAGAGGAGCTAGGATCAGGTGGTTAATTGTCAAATGCTGAAGAGGTCAAGGATTATTTCATTCTCAATAGATTCAAACACAGGAAACACACCTGTTCTCTCTGGAACCATAAATCATTGAATGGTAGAGTTAGACGGGACTCTTAAACTTGCACAGAGGCTCTTAAACCTTTCTGTGTCATGGACCCTTTGGGCAATTGGTCTGGTGAAACCTAAGGGCCCCTTCCTGGAATAATGTTTTAAAATGTATGCATTTTGGCACTCCTGGCACATGGCAAGTTCTCAATAAATGTTCATTAATTTACATAGGATCATAAATGAAACCAATTCTATTGACAAAGTTATCAAAATTTTTTTTTAATTTTAAATCTATAAATTTGATTTAATCCAAAATCCCCACTTAAAAAGGAAAAGAACATGAGCCCCAGAGGGGTAAAATTATGTATCCATGATTCCATAGTGATGGCAGAGGCAGGAACTAAATGAACCCAGTGTTTTTGGCTCCCAGTCCAATGTTATCTTTATTATTTCAAGTTATCTGTATGACACTTCTTATAGCTCTCTCTCTCTCTCTCTCTCTCTCTCTCTCTCTCTGCCTTTTTTTTTTGAGGCAACGGGATTAGATGAGTTACTCAGGGTCACACAGCTACTGAGTGTTATGGGTCTGAGACCACATTTGAACTCAGGTCCTCCTGACTCCAAGGCCAGAGTTCTATCCACTGTGCCACCTAGCTGCCCCCTTACAGCTTTCTTGAAATTCAATGGTTGAACTATAACCAAGGAGAATATACATGGACCCCATAACGTTTGAATTAAGGATTTTAGAGTATAGTCAGCAACATGGCTAAAAGTGTCCTCTATATGAAACTATCTCTTCTGCATACTATTGGAGTCCCTGTGATTTAGGAATCACTCCTTTAGATTTTTTCCTAACATAAGCATCTGTAATTTCTTTAAATGCAAATTTCTTTGGGAAGGGTGAGATACTAACTTGGGTACCAGTCATTGGAACCTTAGTGTGACTTGGTACTACAAATTAACCATGGACAAAGTGCATGGGGTCCTCTTGGCAAAAATACTGGAGTGGTTTACCATTTCCTTCTGAGGCTTGTTTTATAGATGAGGACTGAGGCAAACGAGTTTAAGTGACTTGCCCAGCGTCACACAGCTAGTAGGTGTCTGAGGCCACATTTAAACTCAGGAAGATGAATCTTCCTGACTCCAGACCCAGCGCTCTATCCTCTTTGCCACCTAGCTGCCCCAGGTTCCACTCAATTAGTTTAAGCACCATAACATAATGCTCTAAGTCAAAAATAAGTGCTCTATTCCAACCTCCTGTGCTGCTTTGCAACAGTTAGCTGAGAAGAGAGAGCTGAAAAAATTGGAGTTTTGATGGAAGGAGCTGAAAGAAATAATTTCAGGTTGTATAGTACTGATGCCATTTACTACCAATGTGGGATGTATGGGATGTTAAAGGAGGACCAGCACCTCTGGTGTGAGGTCTTGCTGAGCCTTCTTCAGGGCTGCTCATCCACCTTTGGTATGCACTTCTCATCCAACTCTTTTCTGTAACATATACAGTGGTCACCCCCTGGTAAAACCATCTTGTCAGATAGGCTAAACCAGGTTGAGGGTAACTGACAAGCCTCAAACACATTGGTGGTAGGGGGAGGTCTGCCCAAAGTATGTGAAGACTTCCCTCAGTGGCATGGGCAGATGAGAACAATTTATTCCAATGGCCATGAAGTCAGCTGAAGCAGGCACTGTGGAGTACTTAGAGCGTGGTCAGACATCAAAGGTGCCAAGGTCATTCACTGCATCCCTGACCGTTGCCAGTCATCTTGACTTTTGTCTGACTCTGGACTTCAATGACTTGGGAATAGAGAGTGAGACTGATGACTTTTTCCCAACTCTGCCTCACTTAAGTCCATATTTACACAACTCATGACATCACTCATCATCCACTATTTTACCCCAATATCACGATGTCATTGGTCCTTTTAGAAAATGATATATGAACTACCTATGGGCTCTTGGGCCAGTCCCTTAAACCAATCTGAGCCTCAGTTTTTGCATCTATAAAAAGAGGGAGTTGAATTAGATGAATGTTAATGTCCCTTCTGGCCCTAAATCTATAAACCTAAGGTAAAGGTAGGTTTGTCTGCACTCTGAGTGCATGAGGGGATCTGTGTTTTCTCTGCACCAACAAGCAAAGATGTACACTTAAGAGGGAGACTGAATAAACCAAAGACAAATCTTGTCTACTACCTTTTCCCAGCAGCCTGTCTCTGTGACCAGTTTAGATAAGAGTGCAGCTTGCTGCTATGAATGAATGAATGAATGAATGAATGAATGAATGAATGAATGGAATGCATGTCCACCTTACTCCATTCTGCACAATTTTTTCTCCATAGAATGGGTTTCTGAGTGCACTGCCTCTTATTATTTCATGGATCAGTATGACTCTGGGAAGTAAAATAGCTGATTTCCTCCTGTCCAAGAAGATTCTCAGACTCATCACAGTTCGGAAACTCTTCACATTCCTGGGTAAGGACAGTGTCATATATTCCACCATTGCAAGAGATTTCTTGCCATTCATTTCAAAAATGCGTTGAGTAAATAATCATTTGTTAAGTACACACTACCCACAATGTACCATGTACTCAAGATACGAAAACAAAGGGGGCAGCTATGTGGCACTGACCCTGGAGTTAGGAGGACCTGAGTTCTAATCTGGCCTCAGATGCAAAACACTCAATAGCTGCATGACTCTGGACAAGTCACTCAACCCTGATTGAAAAAAAAAAAGAAATACAAAAAGAAGCAAAAAGATAGTCCCTGTCCTCAAAGATTATTTTCTAATGGGAAATACAACATATGTATGCCTTTTGTTGTGCTTTTCTCTCCAGGAATGTTTTTCCCATCTTTATTCACTGTACTTATCCCATATGTTGGCTCCACTACTACTGTAACCTTTATAATACTGGCTAGCTCAGCAAGCACCCTGTGTTTCTCTGGATTCATTGTTAATCCCCTAGACTTTGCTCCCAGGTAAGATGCTCTGCCTTCTCTCTTCTTCCTTGGTAGTGTGGAATCGTGGAAAGAGGCTAGATGCAAATTCCAACTCCAACACCTACTGTGTGATATTGGGGGGGAAAGGAGGGGGAAACCAGTAAGATATGGCAGCTTAGGGTGTAAGAGAATGAGGAGTGAGTTAGATGTCCAAACCTGGAAGAATGATGATATGCTTACAAAAATAGGGAAAAACAAAGTTGGACAGTGCTAAAAATAGAGGTGATTGAACCTATGGGGGCTCATCTGGTAAGACAGGGAGCAGAGAGGGAAAAGGAAAGGAGATTGAGAAGGAGTTGTCAGAAAGGAGAAGGAGACAGTAACCAGGAATAGGAAGTGGTTAAGAGTGTCCAAAGCTACAAAGAAACCAAATTAAGGTTAAATAATAAGTTAAAGATGCAGAAAAATACCCTAGATTTGCAATTGAGAAATTGTTGACAACCTCGAGAAGACTTGTGGCCATTGTGAATGGTATTGGAAACCAGACTGGAATTAATTTAGATGGGAGTGAGAAGTAAGAAAAGGAGAGCAATGAGTGCAGTTGACCCTATCTAGACATTTGGGTGCAAAAGAGAAGGGGAGAAACAAGAAAGAGTTTGAGGGAATGGCAGGATAATGGGAAAGACTTTTAAAGATAGGGGAGAAGGGAACCTAGGTATGTTTCTAGGCAGAAGGGAAGAACCAATACAGACGGCAAGACTGATCACTAGATATACTTCCCAAGGGAAGTGGGAGAGAGAGCATCAAGGTCACAAGTAGAGGGGTTGGCTTTGGTGAGGAGAAGATATGGTTCATTATCAGAGATGTGAGCAAAGGAGGAGAAGACAGTCAGTGATGTGGAGGTGGACTGAAAAATAGGAAAGGAAAGTGAGTGAATGTGTGTGACAGCCAATTGGGAAGAATCAAAGGTGCATTAGGTAATGAAATAATTCTGAAGATAATCCAGCATTGGGATTTGGCAGAGTACAAGTAGCTACAGAAAAAGGGAACAAGTCAACAAACATTTACTAAGCCATTCCTACATTTCAGGCACAGCGATAAGAGCTGGACATACAAAGAAAAGCAAAAACAGCCCCTGCCCTCAAAGACAACATGAAAACAACTATTACACATTATATATATACGTGTGTGTGTGTGTATATATATATACATATATATATATATATATATATGTATATATATATACATAATCTCAGAAGGAAAACAGTAGCATCAGGGAGGAATCAGAAGAAGTTTCTTGCAGAAGGTAGGCTTCTAGGTGGAGTACAGTGTGTAGCTTCATATCAGTTCGAGATACAAAGATGCTTGTTGAAATGCACTGAATTGAAGACAGTATTCATAATGCCTGAGCATAAAGTTTCTTTACAATCAACAAGCCTTTCATTTCTCTCATTCCATTTTCCTTATCAATGTTTCTCAATATACTTTTAACCGTTGTCTTCTGGTCCATCTTTGCATTAGTCTTGAAGTAATAATATCTATGTTAATGTAATTTGGAAGGTCTTATAAAGTCCTTTATACAATTGCTCTTCCATTTCACCCTTTGAACAAAAGTTGGTATGGAACCTACATTTTTTTTCATGGCACTCTCTTTTTTTTTTTTTATAAATACTTAAATGGGCATGCAATATGAGATTACTAAATATCCCATGAAAACCTGTTTCTTGTAGCCATTAGATGTAAAATAAAATAAGCTCCACTGTCTCCATTTGTTTATCCCAGGAGACTTTTTAAACCATCTTTCAGTTCAACTTCAACTTCCTTCTGTCTTCTTCCTTTATTTACAGAGAGGATGACAAGACTGATACCATCCAATTCCTCCAACAGTATGCCTATTTGGTTGGCTAGTGGACCAGGTTCTTACATGTAAGGCAGCAAAGGCTAAATTCGTAGTTGATATACAAGTGCTATGATTCTTAGCCCCTCAATTCCCTTTTCTGCTATTCTGTCCCTGTCATTGTAGAAACCAAAAATGGCTACACTAAAGTGAGGACTATTTCCTATTTTTCTTTGTTTCTTAGGTTGCTATTACCAAATATCCCCATGCAAATAGCTCGATAAAGAAGAGCCACTCCGTATTTATGTCACATTTGCACTTTAGGAAGGAAACTCCATTTAGTGCCAGGATTTTACCCAGAGCCTTGCCAGCACAGAAAAACCAGACAAACCACTCTCTGCTAGGATAGCCTTCAAAAATCCAGGCTTGTTGCAAGCAGTCTACAGAATATGGCTTGGATGAGGCTTTTTAAGCCTTTCCTTACATGGACTCCTATGTATTCTTTTCTATCTTCACCCACTAATTGTGACATTATGAATGGGGCACAATATAGTAGGATTATCATTTCATTTCTGCCAGCTTTTAATGTAGGGCAAAGTCATCATTACATTTGGTTTCACAGGGGGAGGTCTAAATAAATAAGTTTTATAGCTTAAAAATGGGCTTAGCTGAGAATAGATAATCACACCACATGTGGTGGGAAATTCTCCAGGTCATTTCTCAAAGCCATCCTTGGATAAGTGAGTTTCTAAATCAGAAATTGGGCAAGTGTTTGAGTTGGTCATCAGAGACCCAGGAATAGAAGTGGTTCTGCAGTCGACCTTGGAGTCTCATGAATTAGGACTTGTGATTAACTGCTTGACATAGGGTGAGAATAAGTCAGGGAAAAAGTAGAAGCTCTTGTCATTGTTTATATGTTTATGGTTATTAGAACCACTCAGCCTAAGTGACTCCTTATTGGAGTTCTATCATTTATAACTACAACATCAAATAAACATTACAGTTATCACAATTGTATTAGCTTTCATGATTGCTTACTTTTTGGGGGGTTTTTTTTTGTTATTTTTTTTACATGTGTTTTTAAAACTTTAGGTTTCAAATTTTCTCCCTTCCTCCCTCCGCATTGAAAAGGTAAACAACTCAATATAGGTTATACATGTGCAGTTTTGCAAAACACTTCCATAGTAGACATGTTGTGAAAAACTAACTCTATTTCCCTTAATCCTATCCTGCCTCCCCCATTTATTCTATTCTTTCTTTTGACCCTATTTCACTTCAGAAGTACTTTCTTCTGATTACCCCCTTTCCCAATCTGCCCTCCTTTCTATCATCGCCCTGTTCTGTTGTCCCCTTTCCCCCCTAATTTCCTGAAGGTAAGACTGATTTCCATACCCAATTGACTGTGTATGTTATTCCCTCCTTAAGCTAAATCCTATGAGAATAAGATTCACTCATTCCCTCTCACCTTCCCCCATTTCCCTACCACTATAAGAGCCTTTTCTTTTTGTTTTATTGTGAGATAATTTACCCTGTTCTACCTCTCCCTTTCTTCTTCTCCTACTATAATCTTCTCTCATCCCTTAATTTTATTCTCCAGATATGACCCCTCAATCTTCAACTCACCCTGTGCCCTCTACCTACCTACCTATCTACCTATCTATTTATCTATCTATCTATCTATCTATCTATCTATCTATCTATCTATTTACATACATATAATTTTTCCCCTCCAACTACCCTAATACTGACAAAGGTCTCACGAGTTATAAATATCATCTTTCCATGCAGGAATGTGAACAGTTCAACCTTAATAAGTCTCTTATGATTTCTCTTTCCTGTTTACCTCTTCATGTTCCACTTGAGTCTTGTGTTTGAAAGTCAAATTTTCTATTCAGCTCTGGTTTTTTCATCAAGAATTCTTGAAAGTCCTCTATTTCACTGAATGAACATTTTTTCCCCTGAAGGATTATACTCAGTTTTGCTGGGTAGGTTTTTCATGGTTGTAATCCTATCTCCTTTGCCCTCTGGAATGTTATATTCCATGCCCTGCAGTCCTTAATGTAGAAGGTGCTAAATCTTGTGTTATCCTGATTCTGTTTCCTCAGTACTTGAATTGTTTCTTTCTGGCAGCTTGTAATATTTTCTCCTTGACCTGGGAACTCTGTAATTTGGCTACAATATTCCTGGGAGTTTTCCTTTGGGGATCTCTTTCAGGAGGAGATTGGTGGACTCTTTCCATTTCTATTTTGCCCTCTGGTTCTAAAATATCAGGGCAGTTTTCCTTGATAATTTCTTGAAAGATGATGTCTAGGCTTTTTTTTTTTGATCATGGCTTTCAGATAGTCCAATAATTTTTAAATTCTCTCTCCTGGATCTACTTTCCAGGTCAGTTGTTTTTCCAATGAGATATTTCACATTATCTTCTATTTTTTCATTCTTTTGGATTTGTTTTACAATGTCTTGATTTCTCATAAAGTCACTAGCTTCCAATTGCTCCATTCTGATTTTTAAGGAAGTACTTTCTTCCGTAATCTTTTGGACTTCCTTTTCCATTCGGCCAGTTTTGCTTTTTAGGGCATTCTTCTCCTCATTGGCTTTTTGGACCTCTTTGCCATTTGGGTTAGGCTATTTTTCAAGGTGTTGTTTTCTTCAGTATTTTTTGTTCTCCTTTAGCAAGCTGTGGACTTGTTTTTCATGATTTTCTTGCATCACTCTCATTTTTCTTTCCAGTTTTTCCTCTACTTCTCTTACTTGCTTCTCAAAATCCCTTTTGAGCTCTTCCAAGGCCTGGGACTGATTCATATTTTTCTTGGAGGCTTTGGATGTAGGAGCTCTGACTTTGTTGTATTCTTCTCGTTGTATGTTTTGATCTTCTTTGTCACCAAGTAAGATAATATAGTCTGACTCTTTTTGCACTGCTTGCTCATGATCATGGCCAATTACTTGAGTTTTAAACTCTTTGTTAAGGTAAGAGTCTGCTTCCAATGTGGAGAATGTACTGTCCCAAGATTCTGGTGTTTATGCAGCTGTTTTCAGACATACTTGTAGGGACCTGTAAATTTTCAGTTCTTGCAAGGTGTTATGATAAGAGGCAAGGTGTTTACTCCTTTCCTGGCCTGTGCTTTGGCCTCTTAGAGACCACAAGCACTCCTTTCTGTCCTGGAACTGTGAAGAAAGTTTCCTCTCCACTGCACCAGCACTC